AGTCTCCAAGAGACAAAAACCCACACCCCTCATGTCTTATCCCTCACAATATTATTGTGTTGGTTGAGAAGGACCTCTCCCCTACCCTTTTCTTCAATCAGTTCGGCCAACACAAGGGAGATAAGGTCCAGGGAAAAAGCTCTCAAGGTTCTGGAGCTGAAGAAACCAAGAGGAGAGAAGGATCCAAGAAGAAAAGCTAGGAATTGAGGTAAGAATCCAACTAGTATGCATTTACTAGTTTTATCATGTATGATTTTTAAACATATGGAGGATTAAACATGATGTTCTACACGTTTAAAAGTGTAGAATATTGAGGTAAGAATCCAACTAGTATGCATTTACTAGTTTTATCATGTATGATTTTTAATCATATGGAGGATTAAACATGATGTTCTACACGTTTAAAAGTGTAGAATATTGATATAAAGTGGTGGTATTTAACTTAGAAGTGTTGGTGAATCGATAGGAGTCAAAATCGCCGGAAACCGCCACATATAGGAAGCTGTTCGTAGTTGCAGACTACGAAAGCCGCCCGGCTTTCGTGAAAGCCGCCCGGCTTTGGCCCAGCAGTCCAGATTTTCACTTTCGATCGGCCTAGAACGGGGATTGATCGAGGGGCTTAACAAAGGCAACTATTGTAGCACATCACGAGGTGAGGATGACTGACTATATTGCTTATAATTAGTGAGTTAATTTCATGAGATCACCGAAGGTAATTAAATGTGTTTTTTATGGATTATTAATGATTAATAATGCCTAAGAATGAGAAGACTAATGTCTAAAGAAAAAGGAGCATGATATACAAATTTAAGAGTAAATTGTGTATGATCGTGTGTTATGAATATGTTAACTTGAGAGTGGAATAATTATGAAACATATGTTGAAATATACTTTTTCTTCATATTAGAATATATGAGTGATTAAAAGTGATATTTTGAATATTGAGAAAAATGATATTTTCAAAGGAAAATCAGTTGGAATCGTCTATATGACTATGAGTTGAGAACTTGGTTTATTGGTATGAATTTGACTAGTATTAAGATACTAGTTGGACATTAAAATGAAATGTTGTTAAGATTGATCCTAAGAGTGGATTGTGAAATGTTATGCCTTAAGTAGTCTTAAGAGATGCTTTAAGGTAGGAAAGTATGAACTCTAAGTTATAATAGAGGTAGGCCTTAAGGGATACCCAAGGTAAAGTAAGTAATGAATTGAACCTAGGTATAGGATTGGCCTACGGGTGTGTTCGGTAGTCCTTGTGGATAGCCGGTTGAATTATGGAAATAAGTAAGGACCATGGCCCTTCCCGACTCTAAAGAGCGGGGTTGGATAGCATGGACTTACATCGTGATCACGGGTTAGGGTGGAATCCGAATCGGAGACCTAACTAGGTTCCGGTAGCGGTAACACATAAGATAGGACCCCGAAGGGCCTTACCTTCCTACGGGATGATGGGTATGAGTGCAGGGGCGGGATGTTGGAGTCCGAACCGGGAGCCTCATGAGGTCTCGGACAGCGGTAGCAAGTCCCGTAGAAATAATAAGACCCAAGGGTGGGTTGTGCAAATGATAAATGAAAAGGAATAAATAAGAAGGGCCATGTGCCGACAAATAAATGAATTTACTTATTATAAAGATAATAAGTGGGAAATATAATTTATTATTTATATTATGATATCACCCTATTTTGATGGTCTTGGAAATTAAAACGTTGATTATACTTAGTATAGTTGCTATTGTACTTGTCAAATACTTCCAAGTACTGACATCCCCTTCACGGGGGAGGCCACCTCACAGTTCCAGGTAGAACTTGAAGGTTGCTACCATTGCCCGTTGCTTCGGGAGGCTCAAGGGAAGAAGACGTGGTTCGTGCTTCTTCCGTTCTGTTTTAAAAACAATTACGTTAATGCTCATGGATACTATTTTCTGAATAATTACTTTGGGGGCTTGTATGCCTAGTTATGCCAAATGTGGCTTGAACAATTGTATTAATGCTTCCGCTGTTTTAAATGCATGTTTTACATTATGTTTGTTTATGGATGTACTATATGTGAATGATATTCATGACGCCTTGTATGGTATGGATGAGTTGGACTGCGGTTGACTATTCGTACTGTACGGCGGGTTGTTGACGTGTCCGGCTAGGTCCGGGGCGTGACACAGAGTGTCCGGGAGAAAGCGGCGAAAAGTAGCCCTCGGCACCTAGAGCCCTCGGCATCTAGAGGCCCCCGGTATGAAGAGCCTCCGGCCAATCATCTACGGCCGAGGGCATCTCCTCGACAGAATCTCATACCCACATGTGCCGGATCAACGTACCAAGTACAAACGTCACATCCAACCACCGCATTTAATGCAGCCACATGCGAGTGCCAGTGCCACCCCGTTGAGGTGACCCTCGACCACCAGAATGATGACACGTGTCCCTATCTGGCATTTATTACTACTATAAATAGCACCCCTTTCCCCATTTGTAATCCATGCTCAATACGCTCAACACATTCTCAGCAATATATATTATCTCTCTTACTTTTGCTCTGACTTCTCTCTAGTTATTCCCCGCAGTATCCCATCAGATAGATACCCCCCGGGTACACTTATCCATCATTCGGTGCTTTCCTTGAGAGCTCGAACAATCAAGTAAGAAAACCTCCCCTTCAGCTAAAAAACACCTACTAAAATGGGAAGAACCACTTGTGCTCAGTCCAAGAACCTTGAGGACAACAACCTGGCCCTCGGTGAAGTCAACCCCCCGGAGCCTCTAACAAGGCTTCCGAGGGCGGGGTCATCACTGAGTTGGAACAGGCTGCTGTTGACCTGCGCCTTCAGCTCCAACAAAACGCTCCTGATGCCCGCCTCGACATTGATACCCGAAGGAGGGACCGGAGCGAAAATCAAGTGAGCCCTCCGGTTCTCAGTATCGACGTACAATCGACATTCTCTGCCTTCATCCAGACACTCACTCAAAACCCAGATGCCTTCGGCGCTCTGGTACCCCTTCAACCGCAAGTCGGGGGAGAACGCTGTTCTTCTCCCACGACCACCCCCCTCCGTGAACCTTACCCCTTAGGTGGGGAACGACGAAGGGGTCGTGGCTCAAGACACCGCTTCCCAGGAGGTCCAATCCCGGGACCAACGCGGTGCAAACAAAGAAAGGCCTCGAACCTCAGCCCTCGAAAGGCTCGGAGGAGCGCAAGACCGCCGAGGGGTCTAAGACCGCCTCGGTGGAAAGCGTCCCAAAGACCCCAAGAGAGCGGGGGATCCGTCTCAAGGGCAGACGAGAGGCGTCCCCATCAGGACAGAGGCAAGGCACCACTTCATGACGATGACGCAAGGCACCAAATCCATCAGGCCCACTCAGCCCGTGTTCGTTCGTAGGGGGGCGGAGGCCCTCCCGAAGGACCCCAGGGACGAAATCATCACGACCCTCCAGTGTCGGCTTAATGAGATGGAGGCTCATCGAGCACATACCGCCGTTGCCACCCCTCATGCAGATCCAAAATATGAGGCCATGCTGGCCAAAATGGAGGAAATGCAGAAGAAAATGGCCGAAGGCTCTGGGGAACCCGTCATCCAACTCCGGACTAGGACGCCATTTACCCCAAGGGTATTGGCGGCCCGATTTCCGGAAAAATACCGGGGCACCTCATCAGGCCTTATGAAGGAAAGACGGACCCTCAGGAACATTACAACCGCTACCAAAACAGTATGATGATGGTGGGGGCATAAGACGAATATTTGTGCCGTTGGTTCCTCTCCACCTTGGAGGGACCGGCGTACGAATGGTTCAACCGACTGCCCGAAGGCTGCATCGATTCATGGCAAGAACTCGCCCAACGCTTCTTGACGCAATTTGCAGGAAGGCGCCGGTCAAGAAAACATTTCCCCCACTTGCTGACGGTGAGACAAAGGAAGGAGGAGACCCTTCGGGACTTCTTGGAACGTTGGAGGACGGAGGCTGATAAAGTTGATGGCGTTGACGATGGGACCCTCCTGGCCCTCCTCCAAACAGTCATTCGCCCCGGGAACTTTTCAAGGAGCCTCATCATCGAACCCCCCACGATTACATAAGGGCCCTACAGCGGGGGGACCGGTACGCCGAGGCCGAGGAGGTGGAAAAGTGTCATCACAACCCCGATCAGCAACGCCCTCGGCCAGATGACAAGGGTAACCGGGGGCCGGGGGCTCCCCATAATCAGTCCAAGGTTTCGGCGCCCCCCAGTGATCGCCCCCGGCACGACCAAGTCAAGCCCGGGGGAGCTTACAAGGGAAACCCGAAGGCTTGGGCCCAACCCATTCTTTTGGAGCACCCTCGGACTCCCTTGACGCACTCCGTCAGTGTCATCCTAGACTTCGACGAGGAGAGGGGTCTTGTGGAGCGCGACTCTCGCGCACCCTGGAGGTATACACCATCAACCTAATTCTTTGAGAAAATATTTCACCTCGTGCATTGCACGAGTGATATACTAGTAATAAGAAAAAGTAAGATTATAATTATCTTTTTGACTGTTTTGGCTGAAGTTATTATAAATGACTATTTTAATTATTTTTCATATAATTATTTATTTATTTTATTAATAAAATATACTTTAAATATAATTTTTGTTTAAATCAACATAATAAACCAATACAGTCACTTTAGTAAGAATTTCAATTTCAATATAATCAGTCGATTTAGCCGATTTTAATGTTATCTTCAGGATCATTTTGATAAGTTTTTCTTCACAATGTCAAGCGCGATGTCTAGATATTGTGATTGACATTGCAGATAAAAGCTTAACAAAAACACGTAAGATTGTGGAAAGAATTAGAGAGAAATGTTCTAAAATCAATACTCCATCCGTCCCACAATGAACTTCACAGTTTGACCTACACACATATTAATGAAATAAACTTACCATGGGGTAAATTTTACTGTTTTGTCACTGTTTTGACACTGTTTTGCACTGTTTGACACTATTTTGATGTAGATTAACTTGTAATTTAAGGAAATGAGAATTTGTTTCTACATCCAAAAAAGTAAAACTAGAAGTTCTATTTTTTTTTTCTCTCGCTATTATCCTCCCTCACCCGTCACGCCGCCGTCGCAGAGGATCGTCACCTTCGAGTCCGCCAACTACGCCGCCTCCGCCATCTTCGCCTCAGGTACGTTCCCCTTAATCTTATTTCCCTTTTTCTATTCGACATCCGCCTCTTCTCTCTCATTTTCCTCGGTCAAGGCGACGGGTCCAGGTTAGGATTTTGCGACTGCGGTGTGCGATGGAGACTCAGTGAAGGCGGCGGGTGCTACGGACTACGGTTCGGCTAGGGTTTCATATCCGATTTCTGCGTCTAGATCTAGCTAGTGTGACAGGTCGCGGCGGCGTTGCGTTAAGTTACAGCTTTACAAGGGCAGGTGCGACGGCTATGGAGTGAGTTACAGGAGAAGGTGCGGCGTCTGGGGGATGGAGAGGGGCTGGTTGGATAGGAGGGTCATTGTTGGGACGGAAACAGTCACTGGCGTCATTGGCGGCGGTGTCACTTGATCGCTGGCGGTGGTGCAGGTCACTGGCGGCGATGGAAACGGGTCACTGTGGCGGTCACCGGATTAGTTGATCACTGGAAAATAGGTAACTGACGTGGTCACCGGTAGCGGTCACTGGCTAACAGTGGATACTGGCCGGCATTGGGCACTGTCTGGTATAAAAGTCTTTGAAGTCACTTCGTTTGGAAAATTTTAAAAGTTGTCATATACTCATATTTTTATCCGAAGACTTTTTTTAATATCGTTGATGTCAAAAGACTCAAAACCCCTCTCATTTATGGGTTGCTGTAGGATTTCTAGAGGTTAATATGTCATACGGAGTAGTTCCCAAAGGGCTACTACGCATTTGAAAAGTTCTATAGATGATATGAGCTCCCTTGGAGTCCGAGGGTTCTAGACTTGTAGTGTACAATTGCAAATATTTCCCTACTTTATGTTTCCGGGTTATTAATGTTTCTTGTGATAATATTACAAACATTGTTTACTTTCTAATTTTCAATTGAAGTCATTTTCTTAGCTTTTTGTCCGCATTGTCATACAGATGAAGATAGCAATAGAAGGATGTATGCATGGAGACCTAGACAATGTTTATGCTACCTTATTACACTTACAAGATGTGGAGAATATGAAGATTGATCTTCTGATATGCTGTGGTGACTTTCAGGTACTAATGGGTAGATTGGTTTGACTTTTTATTTGCACCTTTAGAAAAGTGTATTACTTGATTCATTGCTCAAGCATAATGAATTCGAGTGCATAATGCTGGGCAGTTTCAAGCACAATGAATTCCAGTATAGTATTATGCTGAGGTTCCTCAATTTCTGTGAAGTTGTGGTCTAAATAGTGTGTCATTTGATGATGTACTCCACTGGAGCTTATGGTGTTCATGGTTTCTAGGCATCATTTCTAGTTTAGAGTTCACTTTTAAGGAAACCCAGGTATGGGCGATAAAAAGTAGGAAGTATAGTTATGTGAATGGCTACATAGATAAAAATGAATGAGGTCTTATTTAAAGGCTCATCTGAACATCTGATTTCTTAATGCTTATTACAAGCAGCACTATACTATAACACTACTTTCAAATATAGTAGTGTTAAAAGTGACACTTGGACAATTCAATTATAGTAGTACAATGGTTACTATATCCAATGTTCTAAAAGGCAAAGTTGGGCATTGACTGGCTGTCTAGTGCGTAGCCTGCCCTAGGGCACCTAGGTATAAGTCTTTATTTTATATTTTATTTTTAACAATACAAATAGCTCATATAATTATTGAACGTTATGTTTTGGTAGTCAACTCCAAAATCTTTTGGGATTAAGGCTTGGATGTTGTTGTTGTTTGTTTTTGTAGTAAAATTACAAATAATAAAATAATTAATAGAAAATTTTGAATAACATAAGAGGTTTGGGATTTTTGTCTTTAAGAAAGTTTATAAACATTTGAAACTTATTCTCTATTATGGGAAATTAATAGGAAATAAATTTAATAGGAAATTATGAATATACTCCCTCCGTCCCTTAAAACTTTGCCAAGTTTGACCTGCACGGGGATTGATAAAGTAAAAACTGTGTGGTAGAGGTTTGTGTAGAGGAGAGAGAATTGATTGTAGCCACAAATTCTTTACTTAAAATGGAAAGTGGCAAAGTTAGTGGGACATCCAAAAAAGGAAAGTTGTCAAAGTTTTAAGGGACGGAGGGAGTAATAATTATTGATGAAACATTTTTTTTAGGAAAGAGCGAAGAAAATAAGTTGGAACAGGAACCAATCTGTTCAGGGCCACCTAGGCGCCCGATCGACTTTTCTAGCCGATTGCATCAAAGCCGGGCGCCACGCCATCGCCTAGCGCCTAGGTCAGTTTTTAGAACAATGACTATATCCTACAGCCAACACCAATATGCAAGAAGAATCTACGGAATCTAGATAATATTTGTAGGGTCCTCTTTGTTTGATTGCTTTTATTGTCACTTAATCTGGATACATATGATCTCTTTTATGTTTACTTGTGGGGGTGGTGTGGGGGATTGAAAAGGTGTTTCTTCTAAACTTTACAAGTATTTTTGGGTTTCTGCTACTTAAGTATGGAACTAGTTTTTGGGTTATTCAAGATGATAGCATAACAAAAGGAAGCATATTCTTTCCACAAGCAGGCTGTTAGGAACAAGAAGGATCTTGAAAGTTTAAATGTGCCACACAAGTACAGAACCATGAATTCTTTCTGGAAGTATTACTCAGGAGAGAAAGTAGCACCATTCCCTACTATTTTCATAGGTGGCAATCATGAAGCTTCTAATTACTTGTGGGAGCTGTGAGTTGACTTGTTTACACATTTGTAGTCTTGTTCTGATTGATTTTTTTTCTTATGGTTTATTTTTTACCAATTAATGTCGTTTTCGGGTAATGTACAAAGTAAAGAGCATGCACATTCATATTTTGAAAATACTTTTCCATTCCTTTCACTTTTCTCTATTAGGAAAGAAAAAAGAGTTTGCTTGCAAGTTTAAATTTTGAATATTGTTTAGGGGTGATCCAAAGATTCATTATTTTTTGGTTTGAGATTATGATGGAATAAAACAAAATGGCTCACTAAACTGTCTGCGCTTCTTTGTTATGAAGCAACAGCCAGTCCATGCAATTTTGGACGGGATTTTCACTATGGGTCTTCCGGAAACAGTCTCTCTGTGCTTTAGTACAGGGGTAAGACTGCGTACATCCAACCCCCCTTACCCCACCGTAGGGGGAGCCTTTGCGGCACTGGGGTAAATGAAAATGAAAATGAAATGTTTAGGGGTGATCCGGCTAAGCTTTTTCTTTTGAAGGGAGCTTCATGTAATCTTAGGGATATTTATGTGTGCATAATTATATACATTATTAACTTTCTGCCATTTTATTGATTCTTATAGGTATTTTAAATTTTTATTTATTGTGCTTCCCTTGTCATGTACACCAATCCATGACATACTATCGTGTGGTCACAGATATTATGGAGGGTGGGCAGCACCTCAAATATACTTTCTTGGATTTGCTGGAGTAATCAAGTATGGCAATATTCGTATTGGGGGCCTCTCTGGAATATATAAGTCAAATGACTATGGTCTGGGTAAGTTGTAGATATCAAATACAACAACAACCACAACCAAGCTTTAATCCCAAAAGAATTTGGGGTCGGCTAACATGAATCGATCTATGATATCGATGCCAAACAGATAAGACGGACAAGAAAGGGAAGAAAAAGAAGTAAGATAAAACCAATAAAATAAAGATAAATAAATATAAGATAACAATAACACAAGAATATAAGAAAGATAAAAGAGAAAAAATAAAAGAGCATAAAAAAGCTAGAAGATAAAAATAATATAAGAATATAAAAAGATAAAGAAGATAAACGATAAAAGAAAAAAGAGAGGAAAGACATCAATCGTCCACACGGATGTGCGCCCACCACTTTGCTCACTCCAAAGCCATACTCTCATCCAACCCATGAAGACGCATATCAGTTCTGATTCCTCTAAACCAAGTCTGTTTGGGTCTTCCCCTCCCTCTCTTCTCTGCCTCTTCTCCCCACCCCTCAAGTCGTCTAACATGTGCATCACTCGGTCTTCTACGCCATACTTGTCACGACGGTAAGGCGAGTTGGGGCGCCAGCCGACCGCCATATCGCCTAGGCGACAATTAGGCGACTAGTCGCACATTGTATAAAATATTATATTTCATATATACAATTATATATATTTACATATAACATTATATTGTATTTAAGTATTTAACTGTATTTAATTTGTAATTTATTATATGTTATATAGTACGTATGATATATTACTAATTAAATTGTATATATTACCTAGAATTGATACCAACAATTAATAAATGAAAAAAAGGTTTATGTATGCGTGTGTATATAAAAAAATCATTCGGCTATGTGTACAACTTAATTAATTAAACTACTTTAGTGGGTATACTCTTTAGTGCGTCATTGGACATAAAACATACGGAGTATTAATATACTGGAATATAAGAAGTCGGATAGAGACATGAAGGCTAAGTGAATAACCGATAAAATAAAAAGCTGGAGAAGAAGCGCAAGTCATCTTCAACCTTGCGACGCTGGAATGCAGCAACTGCAGGTCGTCTTCAACCGTGCGACGCAAGAATGCAGAAACTGCAGGTCCTCTTCAACCGTGCGACAGAGGCACACCAGCAGAGAAGTAGCGACTAACGATGCTTCGTGCTTGGGGTTTGTCGATTGGCCTTGAAGATTGAGAGTCGATGATTGGCCTTGAAGATTGGGACTTTCAGAAGGCTTCGGTTCCTAAATTACTACTTTCTAAATCGTATTTTGGGATGGGCTTCTAAAAACGAATTTATTGAGATTCTAATCTCCCCTGGCGTGCGCCTGGACGACATGTCTACGCCTGGACGACGACAGGAGCGACTTATCTTCTTCTGGCGAGTCGATCTCCCAAGTCGACCCTTCTCCATCACCAGGACGCCAAGTCGGCGCCTAGGCGACGCCTAGTCGACGCTGTGACAAGCATGTTCTACGCACATGCGCAAACCACCGCAAACGAGACTCCCACTTCTTATCTTCTATAGGTGCTACTCCCACCTTTTGTCTGATTATCTCATTCCTCAAGCGGTCTTTTCTGGTATGTCCACACATCCAACGCAACATACACATCTCTGCCACACTCATCTTTTGAATGTGGCATTGTTTCACCGCTCAACACTCTATGCCATACATTAATGCAAGCCTAATTGTTGTTCGATAAAATTTACCTTTCAGTCTAGTCGGCATACCCGATCGCATAGAAATCCTGAAGCACTCTTCCATTTCATCCACCTAGTTCTGATTTTATGGGAAACATCTCCATCTAATTCACCATCCTTCTGAATTATGGAGTCCAAGTAACGGAACATATCACAAACTTGTAGATATCAAATACGATAGTACTAAATCGGTTGGCATTTCTGTTTGTTGGTTTAAAGCCTGTGAAGTTGAGCCTGGGGTATCAATATTGTTATTTTTTCCTGCTTATTGATATTTGTGTGTGCCCTGTGCTGCCATTTTTTTATATAATAAAAGTCATATTTGAGGCAGATATATCCACGAGTTGTTTCATCATGATAATTTTTTGACGTTTCGGGATGACAAATTTGACAAATTACAATAACTTCATTATGGCAGGACATTTTGAAAAGCTTCCTTATAATGAGCGAGGTATTCGATCCATATATCATATTCGTGAATATGATGTTCATAAGCTTATGCAAGTTGAAGAACCAATTGACATCTTCCTTTCACATGACTGGCCCTTGGGTATAACTGATCATGGAGACGTGAAGAGTCTACTTCGTCAAAAACCATTTTTCAAGGACGAGGTAAGCAAACAGAAGGATATTTGAAATCTGATCAATTGAGTAATGTTGTTGATAGGGAGCAGGCCGGGGCAGCCGGTCAGCGGGCAGACGCGACCGAAGGAGAGCTGGGCCCCAGGCCCTTGATAGTCTACCGGGGACGGGGACGGGCCTGAGCCCACCTTCGTGGGCTGGCTATTTCAGTGGCTTTAATTAATTAGGAGTTCTACCTTAATTAGAACTAGTAGACTATTTATACCCCTTAATAGGGTTATTCAAACTATGCATTATTATTCAATAAAGTTGGTGTTTTAGCTCTAAGCTTTGGCAATGGTTGCTACCGTTGATTGTTATTTTTCTGCTCTCATCAATTGGTCTGACCTGTCGGATCCCGTCCTGCCGGAATGACGAGATCAACCAACGAACATTTATCAGAATTGGAGGCCGAACAGGCCCTGATCAATCAAAAACTTGACACGCAAGGACAGAAACTTGATGTGCAAGGACAGAAACTTGATGCACAAGGTCAGAAATTGGAAGAACAGGGTGCCCAACTTGCGGAAATTGCGGCTTCCCTGGCAGCGATCGCGAAGGCCATGATGCCGTCGGAGAAGACTCCGACCGTGACCGTCGAAAGTGACTCCTCTGCACACGTCGCGACTGCACCCTCTGTTGACGGCGGACTGCGCAGCGCAGCAACCGCCCTGCTCCCCTCGTTCGACGGCGAAGACCCAATTGGGTGGATGGCAAGAGTTGAGCAGCATTTTGAACTCAGCAGAATCCCACCGGACAAAAAAGTGGCAGCGGCTATGGTTTCTATGGAAGGGGCTGCCCTCTATTGGGTGACTTGGTTGAAGGCGCGCAAACACGGCATGTCTTGGGAGGAATTCAATCAAGCCCTGGTGGTCAGATTTGATTCCCGTTATCAGGGAAACATGTTTGAACGGCTGTCTGGCGTCAAACAAATTGGGACGGTGGAGGAATACAATACCTTGTTTGTTCAACTAGCTAGCCAAGTTCCTCGATTGACCGACGATCATTATTTGAGCTACTACATGAGTGGACTTAAGGAAGCCATCCGAAGCTCGTTGCGCTTATTACGGCCGGATAATTTGGAGACGACCATGTAATTAGCCCGCGATGTGGAGCATAACTTGTCGATGCAGAACGGAGGAAGAGGAGGGCCCAATTATATCACCACGGGGTCACGTTCCAGCAGTTACTCTCGGCCAAACTCGGGGTCTTTCCAGGCTGCAAGTAGCGGCAGCCGCGCAACACCAGTGGCGGCTTCCCTAAGGCCACTGGACAGGCGGTGGGGTCCACCTCACATGCGACAGGGACCACTTCCGGACTGTCTGGACAGTCCACTGCACGTTCCAGGTTCAACAGGCTACCCCCAAGGGTGTTAGATGAGCTGCGGGCCAAGGGATTATGCTTTAAAAGCCGGAAACCTTTCACACCGGGACATGATTGCCCTTTTAAATAATTAAGGGAACTGGACTTGCAACAACACGATTATTGTGAAATAACGGGGCAGGAGGAACTTCCATCAGACGACGACCATCCGGAAGGCGATAACAGTGATTTTCCAGTATATGTGATGGCTGGAATTTTCAGTCCTCAAACAATGAGGCTCTGTGGAGTAATCGGAGGGTACACAGTCACTGAATTAATTGATAGTGGCGCTAGTCATAACTTTGTTTCCTCGGCTTTAGTATCTCTGCTGTGCCTCAACCCAGAAAAGACAGGAAGATTCGGAGTTCAATTGGGAGATGGACATAGGCAAGAATCAGAAGGGGTGTGCCGGCAACTTCCCATAACATTACCCGGATGTGCAATCAAGACGGACTGTTTTGTTTTTCCGTTGGTAGGAGTGGACGTCATATTAGGAGTTGCATGGTTAGCCACTTTGGGGAGGTGCGAACCAATTGGAAAAATCTAACCATGCGGTTCAAGCTTGACGATAGACAGGTAGAGCTGAGGGGCGATCCATCAATGTGCAAAAATGCAGTCAGCCTACGCACACTACTCAATACTACCAATATAGAGTTTTGTGCCGTTTTCCTAATCAGGGAGCCCGGCAAACTGTCTGGGGAAGCATCGGGAACTCTGGAGGACATCCTCGACCAGCATACTAAGGTGTTTGAAGAACCGCGAGGGCTGCCACCTCGCCGTACCACGGATCACTGCATCGAGCTAGTTTCCGGGGCAAAGCCCGTTTCAGTTCGGCCGTACCGATATGGTCATTTACAAAAAGATGAAATCGAGAGACTTGTAGATGAAATGCTCCAGGCCGGCATCATCCGACTTAGCTTTAGCCCATTCTCAAGCCCAATTTTGTTGGTCAAGAAGAAAGATGGCAGCTGGCGATTTTGTGTTGATTATAGGGAGCTTAACAAATCTATAGTACCAGATAAATACCCGATTCCAGTGATACAAGAGATGTTAGATGAGTTGGCTGGAGCGGTGGTTTTCTCTAAAATAGACTTACGTTCCGGGTACCATCAGATCAGGGTGGCTGGTCCGGACATCCATAAGACTGCTTTTTGTACTCACAGTGGGCATTATGAATTTTTGGTGATGCCATTCGGTCTGACAAACGCCCCTTCCACCTTCCAGGCCGCCATGAATGATTTGTTCCGACCCTACTTGCGGAAATTTATGCTGGTATTTTTTGATGACATCTTGGTATACAACAAGTCATGGGCTGAGCACCGAAAACAGTTGGACCTGGTATTAAGCCTCCTGGAGAAGAATCCGTTCAGAGCTAATAGGAAAATGTGCACCTTCGGTCGACCGCAGGTGGAGTACTTGGGGCACATTATTTCTCAAGCAGGGGTAGCCATGGATCCAGCCAAAGTCAATGTAGTGGTAGATTGGCCACAACCGAGATCTGTCCGAGAGGTCCGGGGATTTTTGGGACTGACCGGATATTATAGGAGGTTCGTGAAGGAATATGGATTGATTGCACGGCCGCTCACGAAACTTTTGAAAAAAGAGGCATTAGCTCAGTCTCAGTGGTCTGCAGAGGCCGAGGAGGCTTTCCGTCGACTCCAAAAGGCATTAACCGAAGCACCTGTATTAGCCATGCCCCAGTTTGACCGCCAATTTGTGGTGGAATGCGATGCGTCTTATGCAAGAGCGGTGCTTATGCAAGAGCGATGTCCGATTGCTTATTTTAGCAAATCATTGGCAGACAGGTCGCTGTCCAGAACAGCCTACGAGCGGGAGATGATGGGATTAGCATTAGCCGTGCAACATTGGCGGCCGTATCTCATCAGGCGAAAATTTGTGGTGCGCTCCGACCACCGGAGTCTCAAACTTCTGCTCACCCAACACATAGCGACTCCCTCTCAGCAGGTTTGGGTGGCAAAATTATTGGGTCATGACTTTGAGATTCAATATAAGACAGGGAGTTCTAACGCAGCAGCAGACGCCCTGTCTCGAAGAGGGGAAGAGTTGGAACTAGCTGCAGTCAGCATGCCGACATAGAAGAGGAGCAAAAGAAAGATAAAATTTTGCACGAAATTATTCAAACACTGGCAATTGATCCGGCAAAGGTACTGGGTTATGAAGTGATGGGGAGGTGGCTGTTCTTCAAGGGCCGATTGGTCCTGCCTTCGGACTCTAAGTGGATTCCTCGGCTGATGGAAGAATTCCATGACACACCTGCGGGAGGTCACGCTGGCGCATACCGGACATACAGAAGACTAGCGATGAACGTATTTTGGAGGGGAATGTTCCATCAGGTACGGGCCTATGTTGCACAATGTTTGGTATGTCAAAAAGCCAAATATGAGGCGATGTCACTGGATGGGCTACTGCAGCCCTTACCTATTCCCAGCTTGATTTGGGAAGATATTTCCATGGATTTCATCACTTGTTTGCCCAAGTCGAAAGGATATACATCTGTTTTGGTGGTGGTGGACCGATTGTCCAAGTACGGGCATTTTATTGCCCTAAAATCTCCGATCACAACGCGTTCTGTGGCTGAAGTTTTTTCCAGAGAGGTAGTCAGGTTACACAGCATTCCACGCTCGATCGTTAGCGACAGGGACTCTCTATTTATTTGTGCATTCTGGAAGGAGTTGTTTCTCTTGTCTGGAACACTGTTAAAATTTAGCTCAGCTTATCACCCGGAGACAGATGGACATACAGAGGTGCTGAACTGCGTGTTAGAAACATATTTGCGTTGTTTCACTTGTGAGTAGCCGCGACAGTGGATACGTTGGCTGAATTGGGCTGATTATTGGTATAATACCGCGTTCCAGACAGCAGCAAAAAATTCACCATTTGAGGTGGTATACGGCCGGCCACCACCTACTATTCGGCGGTTCCTTCCAGGAGAAAACAAGGTGGCAGCCGTGGCAGAGGTATTGGGCAGCAGGGATGTCATGTTAAAACGGCTAAAAGAGACTCTACAGAAAGCACAACAGAGCATGGTGACCCAAGCTAATAAACATCGCCGCAACGTGGACTTTCAGGTTGGGGATAAGGTATTTTTGAAGGTTAGGCCTCACCGGCAGACTACTATACTTCGCCAGCCTTACAACAAGTTGTCTGCCAAATTCTATGGGCCATTTTTAATCGAAGAACGAGTTGGGGCAACGGCCTACCGGCTAGCATTGCCATCTAACAGCCGTATCCATCCGGTTTTGGCCATTTTTAATCGAAGAACGAGTTGGGACAACAGCCTACCGGCTAGCATTGCCATCTAACAGTCGCATCCATCCGTTTTTTCACGTGTCTCAGCTGTGGAAGGTAGTCGGTGATCATCCGATAGAGAGTGAGCTACTAAAAAGCTTGGAATTGCCAGTCACTCCAGTTTTCGAGCTTGAAGAGATATTAGCCACCCGAAAGCAAAATGATAAAGAAGAAGAGCTATTAGTCAAATGGGCTGGGCAGCCTATTGACGAGGCAACATGGATGAATAGAGAAAGTTTCTTGGGCCAGTTTCCTGATTTCAACCTTGAGGACAAGGTTCTTGGATGAAGTTGATAGGAAGCACTGAAGCAGGCTGGGGCAGCCAGTCAGCGGGCAGACGCGGCCGAAGGAGAGCTGGGCCCCAGGCCCTTGATAGTCTACCGGAGGCGGGGACGGGCCTGAGCCCACCTTCGTGGGCTGGCTATTTCAGTGGCGTTAATTAATTAGGAGTTCTACCTTAATTAGAACTAGTAGACTATTTATACCCCTTAATAGGGTTATTCAAACTATGCATTATTATTGAATAAAGTTGGCGTATTAGCTCTAAGCTTGGGCAACGGTTGCTACCGTTGATTGTTATTTTTATGCTCTGATTGCTCTCATCAGTTGTCCACTTGTACATGGGCTGAAAGCCCACATGGATGACTCCCCTGGATGTGTCATGTGTGACCACATGGCCTTCTCTGGGATATTTTTCATAATGCCGTGCGAGTGTCGGGCCTTCAGATGTTTCAAAGACAGTTTCCTTCCAGATTACATGTCTCTTTTTACTGTTGTTGTCGTTCTTCGAGGGACTTCTTGTTATCCACTTTCTTGATCTATTAATCAATGACAGTTTATTCTCTTTAAGAAGAAAATATTGAATCATAGTACTTGTACATTCTTTGATATGTAATGTATATTTGTGTTTTTAATTTACTCCTATCACATGTGCTACTCATGTGTTGTGAATTTGTGAGTGTTTATCTGCCAAACTGCTAGTTTTAACCAACCCCGTTGAAGGCTGAATATGTCTAATATTATGCGTTCAGATTCGTGAAAGAACTCTGGGTAGTAAACCTGCTGCAGAGTTATTGGAAAAATTGAGGCCATCCTATTGGTTTTCTGCTCATCTGCACTGCAAATTTGCAGCTTTAGTTCATCACGGTGAGGATGGCCCGATCACCAAGTTTCTTTCTCTTGATAAATGCCTCCCTGGCCGGAAATTTTTGCAAGTACTCTCTTCCACCACTGATGTTCAGTTACATTTTTCTCATAGATTACTGAAAAACAATATCTTAAGTTCTTAACTTATAAGATTTATTTTGATGCTTAGGTTATTGAAATTGAGTCAGACCCAGGGCCACATGAACTCCAGTATGATGAAGAATGGCTAGCAATTACAAGGAAGTTTAATTCTATCTTGCCGCTGACAAAAAGGCGTGCAAATTATAGGTGAGTACATTTATGGACGTGATAAGTTGATGGTGTGTGAAAGGAATTAGATTGTTATGCTTAATACTTTGCAGCAATGCACGATATGACCTCCAAGAATGTCGCCATTTTGTAAGGAAGAAACTTCAACCAAGAGGAACAAAACCTTTCGAGTTTGTCCGCACTGTGCCGTGCCACAATTCTAGTCAACCTTCTGATAGTGGTTCCTTTTCTGGTAATGATCTGTATTGCAGCGGATATTATTAGCACTTTTTTGTATCACTTGATCCTAGTTGGAATTTAAATGAACTTCTATGGATAATTTATAATAACCAGTCCAGTTCATTGATAAAATTGATAAAGATTGTGTAAAACTCTTGCCACCATGCCTTTTTTGCATGAATTTGAAATGTTAACAAATCATAGACAATTTAATTGGCACTATAAATAGAATGCCACCAACCCCAACATAGTGAGGATACTATATTTGAAATATTATTTTGTCTACCAACACAACCTAGATTTCTCTCATCTCTTTTGAATAGTAGATTTCACGTCCTGATAACTTCAACAGCTCATGAGAATCATAAAAGATTTTTATGTGCTTCATTTTATTTTGGTATGACAACGTCAAAAGTATGTATAACCATGAAAAACATAGAAACTGCATGCTGTGATCTTCATTTGGGGAAGATGGTGGTTTCCTTTTGTTTTCTGCTTTCATGAATCATATCATTGTTTGGAGTTAATACTTTGAAATTTATGTTAATATTTTTTTCAAGCCTACTGTACTATCTTTGGTTCAATCTGACTCTGTCTTAATCATTCCCAGGACACTGTCGAAATCCACAAACTGAAGCTTTATTGCAGCTCCTTGAACTTGAATATCTTCTTGATGGAACGTCGGAATCAAGGGAACTTACTGGAAATCCTGCTTCATTTGTTTCTAGTAATACTCTCTTATGGTTGTTTACTTGATTTGAATAATACTGGCAAATTGCATTTCTTCCACTACTAGTCTACTACTCCAATGAATGCACACTCCAATGCATACATATGACATTGGAGTTATTGACACATGTAGTACTTTTGAGTAGGGGTGGACCGGTTCCGGTTTGGGCCCGGTTCAGGTCTGGGCCCGACCGGGCCTCGGTTCATGAAAGGGGAGGCCCGGAACCGGCCCGGGTAACCCCGGGTCCGGGCCGGGCCTCGGTTCATGTAATTTTTTTTGGCTTTTCCTAATTAACCCCCAACCCTCCCCCCTCACCCCCAAACCACCCCAAACCACCTCAAATGGCCCATCATACCCAGCCCAACCCAAAAACTTAAAAAAATTCAAAACAATAAAAAGAAAAAAAAAATTGGCCCGGGCCGGTCCCGAACCGGCCAGGCCGGTTCACTATTTAGCAGGACCGGGCCCGAACCGCCTACCTCACCGGGCTGGGTGGCCCGAACCGGGCACCAACCAGTTCACCGGCCCGGTCTGGTTCCGGGCCGGTTGGCCCGGCCCGAGTCCACTCCTACTTTTGAGTTTGGTAAATTGTGGGTTGAGGTTTTGGAGGTTTGTTTTTTGTTTGAAAAAGCAGCACATTAGATTTGATATTCCCTTTTTTCAAAATACGCAGTAAAAGATAAGATGAGTATGAACTCAATTTTCTGGTCAATTATGTATTTCAGTACTACTGTAAACCGTTTATGATATGTTAATTTGAACCAATATAACCCCCCTCCCCCCGAGTCCATTCCCCTCCAAAAATACATTAGGTTCTTTTGCTTACAAATATGGTCAAATGAATGATTGACCATGACACCTTGTTGTGCAATAGAGCCTTATTTTTACGGAGTAAAATTTATTTTTTTATAAATGTTGGTATGGTTTCATTTCTCCATAGTTTGTGGTTCCTACTTCCTTGTGACGAAGTTTTTTTTTATAGGAGCTAACCATTGCAACTGGTTTTACTCATTTTGCAGGTTCATTCGACTATGGTACAGAAGATATGCCCATTGATGATATGGATGATGTAGATGATCCAGAAGAGGAGGAGAATGACGGTAGAGAAACTGAAAGTGAACAAACATAGAACTTATTTATTTGTAGAAATCTAGCTGCAGTGTAAGTTCTACCAGTAGAAAGCGTTGTTTACTGTAATTTTAATGTGTAGTGAGAACTTGATTTAGTCATTTAGTGCAATGGCAGTGGAGGATAACAGTGGCAGGGAAGATTGACAAATAGACTGCCTGTTTTTATGGCACTTTTCTTTGAAAATGGTTCGAGAGACCGTTCTTCGGATCCTCCTATGCATGCAGTGAGGATATAATATATGGAGTAATCTATCTTAATATAATAGCAAAAGGTTTTTTGGGGAACAAGTTTCCGCCAAAACCATTCTAGGGCAATTTAGTAGAGCTGCGTTCCAGTGCTTAGTGAGAGAAAAAGCCACCGGCCATGTCGGATGTGGAGCACCAATTCGAGGAGAAGGGAGATGCAGGGGCACCCAAGACCTACCTGCAGCAGGCTGGCACCATCCACAAGGCCCTCTCTTTATATTCTTCTGCAGATAAGCTCATAAGCATATTGCATCTGATAGATTCATCATGTCTTCCATCTGATATCTGATTTATAACTCATAGGTTTCTGTCTTGAATCTTGATGTTAAATACTTTTCCCCAATTTCCAGATCTAAAACTCTTTTAGCTTTTATTAACATATCAGTTATCGCCTCTGTGTGTAATCTATCTATGACAAATGGATATACTTTATGTTTCACGAGGAATCTGCAATCCGCCACTCACCTGGGCTTCAAACTGATAATTTATTGTGGTGGATCCGTGGATGCATGTAAAATCTTGATTCTATTTTTTGGAGGAAAAATAGTACACCCTTAAAGTTAATACACTATTCCATTTCTCTCTTCTAATAATTTTTTGAAATGATCAAGAGTTGTTATGTATTTTTCAGAATGTTTATGGTCGCATTGTGTATCCACAAGAGATGGCAGATTTGCTATAGTTGTTTAGAATGCATACGGAAAAATACGAAAGGAGATGGGAATGTTTTCAAGGGAAGGAAGTCGTTTAGTGTGATTGAAGTTAACGATCGATGACCAATACTACATATGTTTTATACTTTTATCTCTATATTTCTCAAAGGATCTTGAACATGAAGTTCGTAAATTCCAAGTAATTGTTTGTTGTCTTTAAAATAATGGTTTGTATATCTAATATTAATCATTTATTCGCATCAGGGAGCCGATGAGTTCAGTAAGCTTCATAAGTAAATTTAGGGAATTTTTCACAAATAGACTTCAAAGTGAAAATAATATCACTTTTGTCACCCTTCAATTATTTTTTCAAAAATAGACTTGCCTAGATTTTCTTTTCACAAATAGACCATACGGAGTATAAAGCATCCGCCCATTTTATTTGATTCTCCGTATGGTGGGCTGCTACTCTCTAACAAATACGGAGTACATTAATACCAAGGTGTATTAATGCATTGATACTTTGATTCTCCATATTATGTAGAGCTGTCACTTGTTTTTCAATGTATTTTTTTTTAAATAGAAAGATGTGCGAATTCATGAAAAATCCAAAAGGTGATAATAAATAGAAAACTAATAAAAATAGAAATAGTATATAATATTAAAAAACTCAAACTAAAAATATAAATAAAAAAACATACTAAAAGTTGAAAATTGAAAAATTGTAAGTTAGATACTACGTATTAAATTAGATGAATATGGTATTTATAAAATAAATTAAAAAAACACAAATATGCTTATAAAATAAAATAGTTTAGAAAGTCAAAAATATAAAAAATCAAAAGTGTCATAAAAAGTTATAAAAAGTTTAAAAAAGAAGAACGTGAAATTTATAAATACAATGTGTAAATAAGATAAAAATGTTTTGAAGCTAGTAAACAATTTTAAAAGTAAATACAAAATTTTGTGAAGGAGTGGTTATTTAAAAAAAAATTAAAATATGCACACTAGAAGAATTTAAATAATGAAAATATATAAAAAAATAAAGAATTGAAATAAATCAATTTAATTTTATAAATATTTAAAAAATTAAAAAATTCAAAACATTATAAAAACCAGATAATACATTTGTTTTTAAAAGGAGGCGGGGGGTTCCTGGTTGTGTTTTTGTTGACATAAGTGGGTTTATTGGTGGAAACCAAACCTATGAACTAGCATTTTTGTGACTTTATAGAGGATCATTTGGTGTGATACCTTTATATATTGTTTTTTGTTGCTTTTGGTTGTATCACTTGTATTGTTTTTTGTTTCATCTTGTTGCATATTGTTGCATCATGTTGTTTTTTGTTGCACTGTGTTGCTTACTATTGTTTATTGTTGAAATAGATTGTTTATGTTTATCTAGGTTTCAATTTATCTTTTCTACTTCTTTAAAAAAATCTATATAGTTTTATATACAAACACAAAAATGATAAATTTTGATTTAGGAAATTAAATAACTAGAAACGGAAAAAAACAATAAAAAACATAAAGTTCAGAGTTATAAACAAGAAGAAACAATTTGAAACAAAAACTAACAATAATATAATAATCATAACTGAAAGATTAATTTCTTTATGAAACATTACATTACAAAATTCATATATTTTTAATTTTGTTTAATTGTTTCAAGTTCATTATTTTAGCTTTTTGCATTCTTTTTTACTGAGTTTTTAATATTACACTCGTTAGGTTACATTAATTATCTAGTTTTTTATAATGTTTTGAATATTTTAATTTTTTAATGAATTTGAAACATAATTAAGAAAATATAAAAATATATGAATTTTGTAATGTAATGTTTCTTAAGAACTTGATCTTTTAATTATGATTATAATTTATTGTTAGTTTTTGTTTCATATTGTTTCTTATTGTTTATAGCTTTGAAATTTTTGTTTCTTATTTTCTTTAAGTTTCTAGTTGTTTATATAAATTTATCATATTTGTGTTTGTATATATATAGAACTATATAGATCTTTTTTTAAAGAAGTAGAAAAGATAAATTGAAACCTAAACAAACACAAACAATCTATTTCAACAATAAAACAATAATAAGCAACAAAGTGCAACAAAAAGCAACATGATGCAACAAATTGCAACACGATGCAACAAATTGCAACACGATTCAACAAAAAGCAATACAGTTGATGCAACAAAAAGCAACAAAGCCAATATATAAAAGTATCACACCAAATGAACATCCTTAAACAATAAACAAAATCGACAATAAAAAACAATAAGCAACAAACTACAACAAAAAGCGATACGATACAACAAAAAGAAACACAATAAAACAAAACGAAACAATTTTGATACAACAAAAAGAAACACAATGCAATAAAATGAAACAATTCTGATACAACAAAATGAAACAACAAACAAATGAAGCCATCTTCCACCTGGGGTAGAGTGAACTTTTAAAATTGATGACTTGTTCTGGACACTGAAAGAAGAAGAGCAGGTAGTATCTACTATGTTTCTCCTTTAATTTTCTATTGAAGAGCAAATTCATTCATTTACTTTATTGCATTGATCTTCTTCACCCTTTTTTAGTCTAAACCACCTTCCTCGATCCATGCCTTTCTGAGATCCCAATCTGCAATCTATATATGCTCCCTACATATATTGAGGCAACCTGCTATGCAACTTCTTACAGCTTGTGTACAATCTGCATTCTTAAGGCATATACAAAACTCCCATCACATTTATAAAACTTATCTATGTATTCTTACGCCTTTCTATGTCACGTTTTGCATTGCTAGGAACTCCATCAGCCTCCCAACAAAACTTAAAACAAAAAAAAACTTTAAACCTCAATTAGGGGATCAAATTTAGGCCACCTTTGCCTTGCTTTTACTGGGTGGATTCAAACCATAGACTGAACCTTCGTATGTAATTGTTGTTAATGTACTTGCACTTTGACCATACTATGATATACATGAACTCTTAAACTCATACAATTATCAACTTGTCCAATAATGAGGCATCTTAGAAAATTCATGGGAAAAACACCAATTAATTGAAATGTACAAACACATATTGTCCTAAACAACCATTAATCATCATTGATAGGTACCGTGTTGTGTTGTATTGTATTGTATTGTATTGTATTGTATTGTATTGTATTGTATTGTATTGTATTGTATTGTATTGTATTGTATTGTATTGTATTGTATTGTATTGTATATGAATAAGAAACTAAGACTTACAGTACACACACTAATAAAGCAGCCAAGGCAGTCTGAATCCAGATACACTTGATTTGCAGCACATGTGCTCGCTCTCTTATTGGAATATTCAGCAGATACATACAATACTCTGCATTTTATGCAAATTAAAATCCAAAACTAGATGCTAGTTAATCAATGTTGAAAATAGAAACGTCCAAAGCAAACATCTAAATCATATTCTTCAGAGATAAGTAATATATTCTTCACCAGAACATCATCAACATAATCAGATTGTGCAACATATATTTAAAAAATTAAAACTAAAAAGGAGAACGAAATCATCGAGCTGATATTCTTATAAATATAAATTAGTATATTTATGTATACATATTTATGTATGAATTAATATATTCTTCACCAGAGCTTATGTATCTATGTATACATATAAATTAAAGGTAAAACACATGATAAGGATTTGAGGTAATCAGTCTGCAAAATTGTCTCATTTTTATTTGCGAATGAATTTGAAGGGATGGAGATGAAAATAAGGGATGTGGCGGCGATGAGCGGCGGTGATGAACAGACAACCTCCTCAAAAATTATTCAAAACTTATTGAAGTTACCTCAAAACGATCTAATCCATACTAGTGATAATCGCTGGATTGAAATTCACCAAGGAGAAGAATCCGAAGAGCACGAAGTTGAATTAAGCCTCTGAGAAGAAATTGTTCAATTGTGGAAGTGAAGGTCCGTCGGAGAAATTGAATCGGAGGACAGGACGGAGGATAGAGCGCAAAGCCGCATAGGACGGACGACGACACACAGAGCCGCACAGGACGGAGGGCAGAGTGCGGAGGCCGAAGCCACAGAGGCCGGAGGTGCAGCCAGAGCTGGGTAGGTGGAGAACAACCGTACACGCTTCAGCTTCAAGCCGGATGCCAGATTGCCAACTATCGATCTCTCCCTTTGAGTTTTGATTTAGCTAGGTTATTTTTGAAATAAAAAAACAAAAAGTGAAAAGTCAAAAGTTTATATTTGAAAAATAAATAATTAGGTGACATAAATGATATGCAATAAACAAAGATGGACTGAACGGGAAATTTCCACGTAAATTTATCATAGTTTTTGGGCCTTCGAAAAACATAATTTTTTTGTTAAAACATAGGAGGTTTTAAAAAACTGTGATTCGAACAAATTAATCAAGTATGCAGTGGCGGACCCAGAAACTCAGAATCACGGGGTCCCTACTGTAATGTAACTCGAATTAATAAAAAATTAATAAAAAGAAGAAGTAAAATATTAAAATAGCATAACGTTTCATAGTTAACGTATACAACAATTTTAAAGATATTCCAGAATTTTAAAGAAATGTCCTCTATCAACTAGAGCTCGTTTGGTAACACTGAAATCGGCTGAATCGACTGATTCTACTTAAATTTATGAAGTTCTGACTGAAGTGACTGTATTGGCTATTTCTGCTGATTATGAAAAAAATAATTTAAAATATATTATATTAATAAAATAAAGAAGAAATGATATTAAAAAATAGATAAAATGGTCATCTACAACAACTTCAGTCAATAGAGCCTGAAAAGTAACTTCAACTTTATGTTTCTTATTATTACACAATTCAACGCGCAAAATCAAAAGTTACATGTTTGGTTAAAAAGTCTATTGATAAGCCTG